CTGCTCTGCCAATATTTTTTTTTTTTTTTCTCAAAAGGGTAATTATTTAAAAATATTCATTTTTTCTAAGTATCAAATATGTTTTTGTATAATTTTCTGAATTTTGATATACTCTTTATTTTCTATTAATTTATTTTTGTATTTTCAGAGCTTGTTTCTCACGTGAATTCAAAAAAGCAAGGGTCATAATTCGGACAAGTACATACACACGAATATATATATATATATATATATATATATATATATGAAGAGTGTTTAATGATAATTCTATTTAAACCTGAAGAAATTTAACTCACAGAAATAATTTCTAACTGTTTGATGCACTATTTTATGACCCATGTCAACTATCTAGAAATGTTCCAGCTAGTGCTATCAGTTGATTATTTCACTCTTCGAGTCATTTTCAATCTTAAATTTGGAACGAAAAAAAAAAAGGGTATGGATTCATTAATTTTCCATTGAATTTGAGGAGAATTGTAGCAAAAATTAGGTGAGTCTTTCTGAAGTCTTATGAATTTTTGTTGAGACATAGTTTTCAAAGAAACGTATGGAAGCATATCTCTATTTATAATTCGATGTAAACTGATTCTGTTTGATTTACTATTATTTAAAATTTCTTGGATTGTTTTTGAGACGTGATTATCAAAGAAAAGTATGAAAGCAAAGTGACTCTAGTTGATTAACTATTATTCCACTTATTCATAGAAAGTATTGGATACATTTCTTTAAGAAGAGACTTTTGTAATCCGACAAAAGCTTGACTTTCGTTGATTAACTACTATTCCACTTATTCATAGAAAGTGTTGGATACATTTCTTTAAGATGAGGCTTTTGTAATCTGACATAAGCTTGACTCTCCTTGATCAACTATTATTCCACTTATTCATAGAAAGTGTTGGATACATTTCTTTAAGAAAGTTGGATGCATTTCTTTAAGAAGACGCTTTTGTAATCAGACATAAGCTTGACTTTCCTTGATTAACTATTATTCCACTTATTCATAGAAAGTGTTGGATACATTTTTTTAAGAAGAGGCTTTTCAAAAGTAAGGATAGTACTTCCCCAAACTTTTATTTGATCTGAATTAGATATTTAAGTCATGATTTATTTTGCACTGCACTTGGATAAAGAGTTTATTAACCTGACGAATCTGAGGTTCAAGAAAAGTTTATAAATTTTTATTTTTAAGGTTATCTATCTATCTATATCTATATATATATATATATTGACAGACTTTTAAGGTTATATATTGTTTATATAAACTATATAGTTAATGTATAGTATCATAGGTGTTAACCTACTTTGAAATTTTTTCAAATTCTTATAGTAAAAAATATTATTAACTTCCATGAGTTTTAATCACTCGGAATTCTTAGCAAACCTTACTTGAGATGATTCAAGTGATTTTATTTTGTCTCAAGTGTATATAGTAATAAACTTTAACATTTTTTTTTTTTTTAGGTAATGTTTATTTATTAGTATGCTATAAAAATTTTGAAACTCAAAAAATCTATTCGAGATGTGTTGGATTCTTTGAGACTTGAGCTTAACACAAATAGTGAGATGTTGGAACTTTGCTTCAACTCACTCAAGACTTCCTAGTCACACTTAGAGATCTAAATCTATTATATACATTGAAATGTGGAAAAACTCCTAGTAATATTGATTTTTGGTATCAGATGGCCTCTAGCATAACCACACCAACTTCAAAGATGATCGAGTGCGAGTGCGAGTTCGAGTTCGAGTTCGAGTTCGAGCTCAAGCGTGGCTCGATTTGAAGTTTGGGCATGGCAAAAATTCATGTGTGAGTTTTTGCCTTTTGTTTACTGACGTACGTAATTAATTAACGTAAAAAATAAAAATAAAAATAAAAAAAATAGATTTTTGGTTTTGTCCACTCACAATTAAGGTATTGTTCACAATGACGGTATAACGAACTCGAATGATTATCAGTGTAAATCAACTGAATTAACTAATTTATAGAAATGTGTAACCATACAAAATATTTAAAAAAGAATTACAACTCAATGAATACGTCGCATATTGACCAATGCAGTGAAATAGTGAATCATGCTTACAGCACTTGTGGAATACAAAATTCCAAAAAAAAAAAAAACGCATATGGAATACGTATTTCCTTACACTTGTTTTCATGTGCAAAGTGAAACTTTTTAATTTGTATTTTGTTCACAGAAAACGAAGAGACTTTTGGAAGAGCTTACAAGCTTTTTGATGATGTCAATAGCGCCACTTTTACTTGCCACGTGAGTAGCCACATTGATTACGTGAGAGAAGTTAAAGTAGCATTACCTCATCCAGCGATAATTGAAGTAAAAATTGTAGAAATCATATTTTTATCAGCCACAAACTTACAATCACAAACTCTCTAAACTCTCTTTTGTGGCAATGACAAACAAAACATCGGTAGTCTGGAAGTTTCTTACAAAGACTTTGCCTTCTCTACCAAATTTTTTTCTTTCAAAAAGGTAATTATTTAAAAATATCCATTTTTTTATAACTATCAAATATGTTTTTGTATAATTTTCTGAATTTCGATTTACTCTTTGTTTTCTATTAATTTATTTTTGTATTTTCAAAACTTGTTCCTCACATGAGTTATAAAAGCAAGGGCCATAATATGGACAAATACATACATATATGTACACACAAATACACATATACATAGAGTGTTTAAAGATAATTCTATTTGAATCAGGACAAGTCTAAGCAACAAAAATAGTTTCTAACTATTTGATGCATTGTTTTAAGACACATGTTAGTTAGCTAGAAATATTCCGGTTAGTGCCATCGGGTTGATTATTCCACTCTTCAAGTCATTTCCAATCTTAAATTTGAAAAAAATAGGGTATGGATTCATTAATTTCCCAATGAATTTGAGAAGAATTGTAGCGAAAGTTAGATGAGTTTTTCTGACAGCTTGTGGATTTTTGTTGAGGCGTAGTTTTCAGAGAAAAGTATAAAAACATATCTCTATTTGTAATTCGACGTAAGCTAACTCTATCCGATTTACTATTATCTAAACTCTTGTGGATGGCTGTTGAGACGTGAATTTCAAAGGAAAGTATGAAAAACAAATCTTGACTTATTCATAGAAAGTGAAACCCTAGCTTGGATACATTTCTTTAGGAAGAGGCTGTTCAAACGTTTGAGAAGATGCCATAAAGGGGTGGTGGTGGTTGGAATGCGTTGTAACTTTTACTATACGTTTGGACTTGCTTTCTTTTAAAGATTTGCAAAGTGCATGGTATTTGAAGTCTAACAACGTAGTCTCAATGAAATTAATTTTCCATGCATTACAAGAAAAAGAGAATCAATAATTTAGATAAGAGTTGTGGAATATGGACCTGTTCCATATATATATCTTATTTTACATTAAGCTGATTAATTAATTATCAATGCATTATTCCAACTACTAACTAATAATGTATATCGTAATTAAAAACTAGACATCGACCGGTGGTGCCGAAAAATTATTGGGTATATGTCCTGGTAGCATTCAGTAGTTTTGCGCCTGTCCAATAAATATTCACTATTTCTCTTTTTTTAGAGAAGGGTAAACCATATTTAGCCCTCTTGACTTTTACCCTTTTTGTAGTAAACTCTTCTTTACTATTTTTTTTGGTTTGTTCAAAAGACCCCCTCAACTAATCAATTGTCCAATTGGCTGAATTTAACTAAAAGTCTTTTTTTATTATTATTTTCTTAAATCTCGAATAATAATATTTCAACTTATAATTTTTTTATTACAAGGATCATGATACTTTTAATTAAACAAAAGTATTAAAAAAAAATTAAAAAGTAAAATTTATAGTTATAGAGTGCAACTATATGTAAGTTCAAATCTGATATGTTTACTCATCTTATATATTATATGTAATATTATTATATTAATTATATTATATATAATTTTTTATATAATGTGTACATATATACATATATATGTATAAGTATATGAGATAGATATTTGATCAGAAAAGTATATCGACAAAAATGAATTTTAATTACAAATAGTAATTGATTGGCATAAAATAGTAGAATTTTCTCTAATTTTTTTAATTAAAAAAATAGAAAATATATATATATATTACATGATTTAACTATACTAGACATATACTAAGAAATAGAATGTAGTTGGACTCATAACTATGAATTTTACATTCTAATTTTATTGTTTTAATGTTTTTCTCTATTAAAAGTATGAGGATTCATGTAATAGAAAATTTAAGTTCAAATACTATTATTCGAGGAAAAAATTGAAAGAATATTTTAGGAAATTCACACAATTGGGTAAATTTCATAAAATCTCCTTCACTTGGTTAATTTGTTGCGGTATTTTGGTCAAAATTTCAAAAGGCAACCCCTCGGTTAGTCGAGGAGGTCTTTTAGGGATTAAAAAAAAAAGTAGGATTTATTGCAAAACAATAAAAGTCAAGGGGGCTAAATACGTATTACCCTTTGGTTAATAATCACTCCTTAGTTATTTGATGAATGCCCTAAATTATTCAGTACTTTCGGAGTATTTAATAATTTCACAGTGCGAACGGGTTGATCTGACAGGTGTTCTATCCAATGACGGAGTGCATGACCTTCCTATTTGATACTTGAAAAGTTATGAAATACTTAATAATATATTTCTCAATACGAACTAATCGATCTGACATATGCTTCATCTAATGACTTAGTGCATGTATCTCCTGTTTGAAACTTATAAAATTATGAAATACTCGATAATTTCTCAATGCGAATTGATCGATCTGACACGTGCTTCATCTAATGACTAAGTGTATGTCCCTCCTGTTTGAAACTTAAAATATTCTGAAATACTTGATAATTTCTCAGTGCGGATTGATCGATCTGACACGTGCTTCATCCAATAACTGAGAGCATGGCCACCCTATTTGACACTTGAAAAGGTCTACGCATAGGATGATGCATATATGCATCTCATTTATTCAAATATGCAGAATGTCACTAATATATATATATATATCTCAACACTGCGGTAGTATAATAGCTGGTACTCATCCCGCATCAACTTCTATAAACTTCGGAGGACTTAGTCTAGAGAAGGAAATTTAACCCAAAGATGCACAAGGTTTCAGCTAGCAGTGTCATGCCTCATACAATTTTGTTGCAGCCTAGAAGGGCCAGGTATTGCCTTGATTTTAGGAAGTATGAACCAGTTCTTCTTCAAGCTATTGCTTAATTATCTACTTCTTGTCCTTACAATATACTATATATACATCCTTTTCTACAGATTCTTATGCAGTTTGAAAACCCTAGAGGAGGGAAATAGACCAATTGGTACGTGAACAACTGAGCCAATTATTATTATTGTTATTTTATTATTTGTAGTTTTATATATATATATATATATATATATATATATATATTTGGTTTATCAATAGTAAAAATGTGTGCAGTCAGTCGTCGTTGTACAAAGGTAGCCCGGAATATAAACATGGAGAAGCTGCAAAACAACTATTTGTTCCCTGAGGTAAGTGTGGCTTACTGGATATATTCTTGATATTTTCTGTATATAATTATTCCAGTATTTTTTGGAACAATTTTCTATTTTTTGAAAATTAAAAATTATAAAATTGAACAAAAGCTAGTCTGGTTGAACTTTATAAACTAATTTATGAGAAAACTCGGTTAAACCCTAATTTGTAAGGAATAATCACTTTGGATTGGATCAACTCTCTATATTTATTACGGATCTATACCCAATAATTTTTCATGATTGGTGTTTTATTTTTCTGTATATGTTTGAAGAAATCTAAACCCTATATATCCTTTTTTGATTTCGTCTAGTAGTTTGGTTTTAAACCCTAGCTAAATATCCTTTTTTTGATTTGATTCTTGGATCAATCAGTCACTCTTACATTTTCTAGGGTTAACAGTTAGCATGTTTTCGATCTTTATATTGATTGTTTCTTTGTTAGTGTACTGACAGTTGACAATTGATTAACAGATTTCAATACATGAGGATGAACACATTAAGAAATATCCAAATGCAAAAGTTATAAGCCTTGGAATTGGAAATACCACACAGCCTATACCGGACGTTATAACTCTAAGCATGGCTGATGTAAGTGTAGTCTACTCATCATCTTTGATATATTTGTCAATTATTTATATATTTCTTTTCAACCATTGAAATTTATATGGAAAAGAGGAAAAATATTCAACCGTACACCCTAATAGAGTTTGAAATGGCTGGATCAAGTTTAAATATATACTCCGTATATATTTTTGTTTTCCTTGGCAAAAGACTCACAAACTCACGTTTATGTCTGCCAAAGGATCGGACAACCAATTCTATATCCAATTTGTTTAATTAACTTATTATTATATTCGGATCGCAAATAGGTTATCGTAACGAATCTTCTAATCCAAATCCTAATTATTTTGAATTCCAATAAAAATTAAATCCATTAACATGTCTAATTATAAAGGTTATGTGGAGTAGAGTTATTAATATATAAGATGGTGCATCATATAACAATCCAATATATATATATATATATATATATATTTTCAACGGATCAAATCATTATCGAGATCAGACTACCTTTAATTCATAGTCGATGAGGTATCGAATTATGAATTTTTTTCTTCAATTCATATCTGAATAATTGGATAGGAATCGGATTAAAATATTATTCATGAATAGGTCTACTCACATGTACACGAGAGGACTTGAAACCTCAAAATATTATTTTGAAAGTGAGTATATTGAACACTTAGTGGTAAGATCAAATGATATTCGTGTACCCGCTCTATGCTTTATATATAAATAATTGTCTATAATTCAATAAATCCGTTATTTAATTTTATTTATATTTTTTAAAACGAGTGCATTTAAAAAAACAAAAAAAAAAAAAAAAAATGAACTGCATTTAAATGATATATATATATATAATTATTTATTTATTGGGAGGTAGTGATACCTAATATGGAATAGTCTAGTACAGGCAGGTTCGGTGCATTTGTAGTGTATATACCATATCTATAATTAAATCAAATGAGAAGAAAAATAGGTTCCAAAAGAAATTATAAATTGGAGTATTTCTTCACCATGACCAAAAATAGTAATCATGAAATAAGAATTGGAGTCAAATATCATGAACTGCATTCGAGACAATTGTTATGAATTTTTCTTTAAATTAACATGTTTTTAAAATGAGAAATAGTATACAAATCACATCATTGTGTTTCCCTTGTTATAATAAAAAATAATATCAAAATACCTTAAAATAAAATGGTATAAGCTACTTAAATGTGATGGTTCTGGTTGATAAAATTGGTCAAAACAGATATGCAATGTTGACTAAACAATCCTTATGATATCATATATTTCAAACGGTTATGTCCTTGTCTTTTCTTGAAGAAATTCGTGCAGAACAATGGTAAAAAAATGTAAAAAAGCAGAGACTTGTCCTTGCACGACTAGACATTTCATACAACTATACAAGTCTTCCCTTACCCGTTTTCAAACCAAAAAAGTTTAATTAATTAGATTAGCAAACCAAAAATGTTTTTTTTGTTATACTCTTCCTGCAATTTTTATTTGTCAAAATTTTTTTGGAGTACATTTTTTTTTTCTTTTTTTTTATTTTTTATTTTAGGAAGGGTGAGAGAAAAACATCTTTATAGTATACATATAATGTGTATAAGTCCCCTATTCGTTCTAAAAAGTCACTAACATTTAATTTTGGAACAAATGAGGATTTGAATATTGAAAAAAACTAAAGTGTCCTTCTATAACTGAATAAAAAAATAGGTAAAAAAACTAATTAAATGTGAAATAACTAAATTGTCACTCTTTTATATATAATATATAGGGTTGTTGGCAAAAAAACACCTTTATGGTATGCATATAGAGTATATAGCCTCCTATACGTTCTAAACCTTGTTAACATTCAATTTTTGTGCAAACAAAAATCTGAATGTTGAAAAAATTAAAGTATCACTCTACAACTGAATAAAAAATAGGTAAAAATAACTAATTAAATATGACAAGTATGTATATATATATATATAAGGACATTATCGGAAGAGACAATGGTATTTTTATATATTTTAAAAATGCCATGTGCAATACATGAATAAATTTTTAACGAAATAATAACATAAGCCATCTTTTACCACATTTTTTAAAACTAAACATCAAAATAAAGGATAGGGGTGTTATTTTCAAAAATTTAAATATTAGGGTGTTTTTCTCAATTTGCCCTTATAAGGGTATTATAGAAAGAGATAACGGTGTTTTTAAAATTTTATATCTTAACAGTGACTTTAAGCCCCCTTTTTTTGCTTATTTTTCAAACTTTACAGATTTATATACACAATATAAGCTATTTTTTGCTCATTTTTTCAAATTTTACGAAGTTATATACCCAAAATAAACTATAGGGGTGTTATTTGCGAAAAATAAAATAAAAAATTAAAGGTGTTTTTCTCACTTTGCCCTTTCAAGAATATGATACTCCAAACAAATTAATCAGATTGTAAATGGTGAGATACTTCGACCAAATATTCAAAGGTCGTATTAAATTAAATTGATTTCCTTTTTTTCTTTTATAAATTTGTCCGTTGTAGCCCTTTTACCTCAATGGTAATTAATGACTAATTCAAATAATACAAGTTTCTTAAAAAAGGGTAAAGATTTCATTGGCCATAGAAATCCTAAGGTTACAATTAAAAGTGAGTATACTTCTCCCTACTTATAGGGAGCACTTGAACATCACTGTATGTATGTGTGAATATATGGATCCAGATCTCCTTATGTGGTGGAAATCACCGGACCTATCATATGCCTTAAAACATTGATGTCTGAAGGCAAAGTTGACAGTCACTTAAAAATAATTAAGGCAATATTTGCCCATTCTTTTAAATAACATGTTTTGTTTTTGGAATATTAATCAGCCCTTAAAATAAATCAACGTGATGAAAATTAATTGAAAAAAAAATTAAAGAATTTTCGACAAAGAAGAACAATGTGTGATTTATGTATTTATATATATGTTTTGATTCACTAGTGTATTTGCCCAAAACTTAACAATATGTATATAGGAAAAACTCATAAATTATTGTACATTACTTAAGAAATTATCCTAGGATGCAAGTTTCTACTAGAATCACATTCTTTCTCATTTCTTATTCTTCATTTTTTGTATACTATGAATTTCATACCATTCATATTGGTGGAGATAACATGAGGTGGTGGAGTGAGAGAATGAATTGGCCTTAATTAATTTCAAGGAATAAGATAAAAAAATAAAAAATAAAATATATCGAATGAATTTTCGTTTTAAAATGGAATGTCACATGTTGTGTTACAGTTCACACGTGCCCTTTCGACACCTGAAGGATACAAAGGATATGGAGCTGAGCAAGGAAACAAGGTGACATGGTGCATATTTTGTTTTTTCTAAAATGGGATGTCACATGTTGTGTTATAGTTTATTGAACATTAATATGTTTGGAAATTTCGAATCAATGCATTGAAATTATAATTAGAAGATTGTGTGCTTCTAACTATACTTCGATTGAATGGTTTCAAACATAACATCAGACAAATATGCGAGTTTTGTTTTTTTCTCTGTTTTCAGTATATGTTTGCTTTTTTTTCTTTCCAAAAGATGGCCTTCTTTTCACATTTGATGCTATTATTTTATATAGTTAACTTCTATATATATGGCAGACACTAAGAAAAGCAATTGCGGAAACATTTTACGGAGAGTTAGCAGTAAAAGAAACAGAAGTTTTTATATCAGATGGTTCACAGTGTGATATTTCTCGCCTTCAGGTATATATATATTCAATCATTTTTGGGATAAATGGTATTCTATATTTTTTCTTGTTCTTTATCTTATTAATACAAATTAATCTTTAATTTTTCAATCCTCTAAAATGAATGTACTGCAAAGGAGTTTATGAAATGATCTGAATCATCTAATGCAATACAACACTTGTCCTGTGTAGTGAAGGAGTTTAGATCTCATTTTGAGCTCAAATCTTCTAACATCTAATTCTAAGAAACACCCGAATAACTTTTGAATCGAAAAGCGGATTTGCAGCTTATGTTAAAAAGCTCCATATCTAAATTCATTTTATATGTACAGCTGCTTCTAGGCTCCAATGTGTCAATTGCAGTACAGGACCCATCCTTTCCGGTGATGTTCCAAAACTTTTTCTTATTCTTTTTCTTTTTCTTTTTCATATTCTTACTAACATGAATTTTACTTTCTATTTACATGATACAGAGAAATTGTTGCACAAATATATGTATTCTAATAAATTTAGGGATAGCTTCGGGAATTAGTGAGAGTAAAAACTTAGTCATAGACACACTGATAACTATGTGAAACACCTGACAATCGAGTGTCCTACACGTAAAAAATTTCTTTATATTTCTAGAATTCTAAGTGAATGCTGGGAGAGTAGCTCAATATATAGCTATTGTCATTATAATTAATGAAGAATATTTGTACAAGTTTCTAATCAATATTTGGATTTATATGTCAGAAACTACTAACAAATGAAAGTTTCTGTATAGTTTTATAATTTTCATTTCTCTAAAAACTAAAAATTGTTTTTAGGAAATCAGACCTAACATGCCTATAGCTAATATATTTATGATTTAACTAATATGTGTGATATGAAACAGGGTTATATAGATTCAGGTGTCATAGTTGGTCAAGCTGGTGATTTCCAAGATGCAACTGGTAAATATTGGAACATTGAGTATATGAAATGTGGGCCTCAGAATGATTTCTTTCCTGTCTTATCAAAGATTCAAAGAACAGATATTATTTTCTTCTGCTCTCCAAATAACCCAACTGGCCATGCAGCCTCTAGGAAACAATTAGAACAACTTGTGGAATTCGCCATGAAAAATGGATCAATTATTGTATATGACTCTGCATATGCTAGTTACATCACTGATCAAAGTCCTAGATCGATATATGAAATTCCTGGCGCCAAAAAGGTAAATTAATGCTATGAATGTGTATATGTAATTCAAAAAATATTATAGTTCATCAGTTTTAGCTACTGTACTGATTAACACATCAGTATTTATTTTGTAACATAGGTAGCAATTGAAATCTCATCATTCTCTAAAATGGCTGGATTCACCGGAGTCCGTCTCGGTTGGACTGTGGTGCCTGAGGAGCTATTGTTTTCAAATGGGTTCCCCATTATAAATGACTTCAATCGCATCGTGTGCACCTGCTTCAATGGTGCTTCCAACATATCTCAGGCTGGTGGGCTTGCATGCCTTTCCCCAGAAGGTTTCAAGGTACATTATTTTGTTTTCATTATTTTAAAAAAAATTTGGGTACCTAAAGTTGTGTTTGACTGAAAGCAACTTCAACAAAGAATAAATTAGAAATTCTAGTTCTATGCTAAGGTAAAATTTTAAAAGTATATATATTTATGTATATATATATATATATATATATATATATATTGTACAAAATACATTTTAAAAAAAGTTTTTAAAATAAAAAACGTTTTTGAGTGATTCAACAACAATCCCCAGATGGACTTTAACTAACAAGAATTGTATTTGGTTTTTAAACTAATCATTTGCTTCAATCTTATCTTATTTAGAAAAGTTCATTCAAAAGGGCAAGAAGAAATATTTCAAAAACTACACAATGCTAAATATACATGTATAGATATCTATCTATGTATATGAGGAAAAGCAAAATGCTGTGTCATATAAGCTTCACTTCCTAGCTTTTTATTTACTTGATGATGAGTATTTTTGTGAACCTTAGCAATGTGTCTCTAATAAGTTGTGATTTTGCTTCAACAAATTTCAGGCCATGCTCTCTATGGTCGACTACTACAAAGAGAATGCAAAGATATTGATGGACACATTTGGTTCCCTAGGATTACAAGTATATGGGGGTGTAAATGCGCCGTACGTTTGGGTACATTTTCCAGGTTCAAGATCATGGGATGTGTTCAATGAAATCCTTGAAAAAACACACATAATCACAGTTCCGGGGTGTGGGTTTGGCCCTGGCGGCGAAGAGTATATAAGAGTTGCTGCATTTGGTCACAGAGAATGTATCCTGGAAGCCTCAATGAGGCTGAAAAGCCTTTTCTCATAGACAAATGTTTCATTTTCCAGTTTCCTGTGACACCTGCAACTATGTACTAAATAAAATCATGAAGCAAGGTTTGTAATAGGAACCCAATTTTTAAATTTTCACTTGTATAATTAAAGTATCATCATCATGCAATAAAGATTAATTAGGTCACATAAATTTCATGTGAAGCTATAGTTGGGCTCTTTTAGTCATTAGTGCTTGTGGGGGTTCTTTAAAGGTAAATCAATATTATTATATATTAACTAACAGGGATGGTATCTCAGTACAAAAATACAATGGAGCCTCAACCAAAAGAATCCGTCCTGGGCTTGGGCACCTCGGCCCTATTTATAGGCCCAGCTCCTTACACGAGTGAGGAAGTCCCTCGTGACTTCTCTTAGGATAGCCATGATAGCTCTACTGGATATAATAGGGGTAATCTAGTCTTTTTGTCTTAAGGATAGGTACTATTACATTAAATGCCTATCTTTTCGAATGCGGCGGTAGTTGAGATTCATTAATGTAATTAGTAGTGTCCTAGTCGAAGCGCGTGAGTTCCTCGTCCTTTCGTTTGCCAGAGTACCCGATACTCTTAGCAAACACCTGACTCGAGTTGGGGTTGGTAACGTGAGGTGTGCCACGTGACTTCATGGAACAACCAAATGGTTTTATTTTAATGGGCCAGGAGGATCTAGTTGTAAGTTGCAAAGAGGTTCATCTATGGACTTAAGCAGGCTTCACGGAGTTGGAATATCGATTTTGATGAAACAATTAGATCTTTTGGATTTTAGCAAAACGTTGATGAGCCTTGTTTGTACAAGAAGCTATACAACACACTAAAGTCGATAGTTAAAACACATATTCACAGATTATAATTATCAAAATTACCAAGTTAATCTTTGTGTGAGAACTTTAAGGCCAACTGGATGTCATCTTTGTGGAGCCCTAGTTCGAAATAGAGCAATTCATTTTACTTTCAACTTATGTTTTACTAGATATATTTATCACATTTGGAAGTAGAGAAATAATCGTACCTTTCCTCGCATACTCTTATTAAGAGATGCTCCAAAATTTCGTTGGTGACAATGTTTCCAATCGGCTCTTGTCTATCAAATTTCATGACTGTAAAAGCTCCAAAACCATCGTTTTTGCTGTGGAGACTCCCCAGTTAAGATCTTTAATTTAATTATTGATTTATCCAAAAAAGAAAAACAATTTTCCAAAAATTAAAACTATTTAGAATGTAAATTTCAAATTGATTTTTATTTTTCAATTATATGACAACTGAAAATTATTATCAGAAAATTAAATTGGTCTGACTGTCACAATGCAACATTGCTGTTGAAAGCAGTTTTCCAAGAAAAGGTCAATTTTGGAAAATCCAGAGAGAAAAAATAAAAAGCTCTTTTAACATGCATTATACATGGAAGAAGATTCCTACTATTTACACTTTCTGAATTCTGATACATCCATATAGATGCATGTGTCAACACACGCGGACGAGAAAGTCTTGTATTCACTTGATAATATACATACCCACATGTTATCAAGTGAATTTAATTTAATTACTCATATATAAGACTATTCACTAAAGAGTTGTCAAAGTGGGTTGGACTAAAAAACAATAAAATGTGGGTGTATGTTATCAAGTGAATTTAATTTGGTTACTCATATATAAGACTATTCACTAAAGAGTTGACAAAGTGGGTTGGACTAAAAAACAATAAAACGTGGGTTTGACTGAGAATTGTACCCAACAAGTGCTTTGATTTTTTTTGAGTAATTCTTCCATTTTCATATAATCTTGCTCAATTATTAAAATGGGCCTGTTAAATTTTGGTGTTAGGTGCTTAATTTTCTTTATTTTTTTGGGGTTTTTTTTTTTTTTTCTTTTTTTGGTAAATTTTCGGTGGAGATTAAAGGGAAGATATGATGCAAAAGAACAAACTTAATCCGAGAAAACCGTGAAAGAAAGAATAATAAGAAGTATAAGTCATCATTCATCATTTACAAATTTTCATTTTGTCCAAATATAAGAGAAAGAGAAGAGGAAAGATAAGTCGGGTTATTATATAAATTTTAAATTACAATACTATCTTAAATTATAGAAGTTTTATATTAAATATTATTATCTTTTATTAAAAAAAAATTATAAATTTTGATTGGTATAATAGTAAAAATAATTTAAAACTCTTTATTTCTTTCTCTTTTAATGAACACAGTAAATTGTAAATTTATCTCTTCTCTCCCATTCAACCAAACAAAAAAACGAAAAATGTCTCATTCATTCCTTCTTCTCTTTCTTCTACCCAATTTTTTTTCCCCTACTGAACGAAACATAAATAAAGCTTCTAATACGACATTTTCTATTTTTAACAATAAAATAACTTGAGGTCGAAAAGGTTTTTAATGAGGAACTTCTTGGATCTGTATTGATTGACTTCTGTGCATGTGTCTATTTAGTTTTGTGTTTTAAATGTTTGTTAGTATTTATGTATAACTTATAAATCAGGACAAAACTTTTGAATTTTTGTCTTCTGGTTTGAGGTCTGTGTCTTGTAGAAAACATCAGTGATATACATTCCCTAGCACTTTTATTTCCTATTTTAAAAAGTGTGAGCTAATAACTCTTTTATTCTTTTAACATTGTGTGAAAACAATCCTCAAACAAAAATCTGACAGAAAATAATGTTGTAATGTCCATTAGGCCCTTTCACTCTTTCGAAAATGCCCAATGAAGTGTATATACTAATAACTCAGTAAAGGGGTGTTACATTTACATTTAACCCACTTTTAAGAAATTTTCTCTCTCCTTTCTACAATATAATAAAATATGTCTCTATATATTTTTCCTAACGGTGTATTTATCTTCTTTTTTTTTGAGTTGAGAGTTATACATTTTCTAAAACTTAATGCTACGCATAAGTTGGAAAGTTCTAATATATGTTGGTCAAATTGAAATAAAAAAATATATTTATTCTCACAGTTGTCAGATTAATGTAAACTATATCACATGGAATGAAAATCTTAGTTCTTTTTTCTAATTATAACAAAGAAAAAATTATTCCCAATTAAAATTTGTAAGCGAGAATTGAAATTATTATTCTTGGGAATGAATCAAATACATCACGGAGAGTTGGCCATATATAGCCAAATACAATCTGTACAATTAGATAAAGAATAAAGTTTGAATCCCATAAAATATGGGATTTTCCTGACTAAATCAGGATACTAGCTAAATGAGGATTAGTTTCCAACTAATTACAAAGTCCAAGATTTTTCCACTAATTTACAGTTGTCCCGGTTTTCCTATAAATAGAAAAACTGTGACTTTCCAACACTCCCCCTCAAGCTAGTGAATAAATGTTCTCCATTCCCAGCTTGCTAATGAGTTTCTGAAATGCATGTCCGGGCAGTCCTTTCGTTAGAACATCTGCAAGTTGACCTGCTGTTGAGATATATGGAGTGCAAATTAGACCACTATCAAGTTTTTCCTTTATAAAGTGTCGATCCACTTCCACATGTTTCGTTTGATCATGTTTTACTGGATTATGAGCAATGTTGATAGCTGACTTATTGTCACAATATAGCTTCATTGGTCTTTCCCACGTGATTCTGAGATCCTCCTGAATTATCTTGAGCCATAAAAGTTCACAAATTCCTAGTGCCATTGCTCGAAACTCCGTTTCTGCACTAGACCTGGCCACCACTGGTTGTTTTTTACTCCTCCATGTCACTATATTTCCTCCCAGAAACGTGCAATAGCCCGATGTCGATCTTCTATCAACCACTAATCCAGCAAAATCCACATCTGTATATGCCTCTAAGTTCAAGCTCGTCCCTTTCTTGAATAAAATTCCTTTGCCTGGACTAGCTTTTAAGTATTGTAGTATCCGGTATACAGCTTGAAGATGTATTCCTTAGGATTATGCATAAACTGGCTCACCACGCTAACTACATATGCTATGTCAGGCCTAGTATGGGACAAATAAATCAGTCTCCCCACCAGGCGTTGATACATTCCTTTATCCATTGATTCTTCCTTTGTACCCTAACCTAACTTATGATTTGTTTCTATAGACGTTTCGGCTGGTTTGCACCCTGTTTTTCCAGTTTCCTTGAGAAGGTCTAGCACGTACTTTTGTTGTGAGATGAATATTCCTCCCCTTGACCGAGCAACCTCTATGCCCAAGAAATATTTTAGGCCTCCCAAATCCTTTATTTCAAATTCCTCTGCAAGGCGTCTCTTAAGTGATTCTTTTTCTTTTATGTCGTTTCCAGTGACAATGATATCATCCACATATACCAATAAGATGGTTACTCCCCTTGAGTCCGAGTGCTTTACGAATAGTATGTGATCACCTTGACTTTGTTTGTAACCCATTCCTCGCATTGCCTTTGCAAATCTCCCAAACCATGCTCTTGGTGACTGCTCTAATCCATATAATGCTTTCTTGAGCTTACATACTTTCTCCCCTCTAGTGTCAACACCAAACCCTGGGGGCCTCTCTATATAAATTTCTTCTTCAAGATCCCCATGTAGGAAAGCATTTTTTTACGTCGAATTGATGTAAGCTCCAATCCAGGTTGGCTGTTAAAGACAACAATATCCTCACTGTATTCATCTTAGCCACTGGTGCGAATGTTTCTTGATAATCAACTCCATAAGTCTGTGTATAACCTTTTGCAACTAATCTGGCCTTATACCGTTCCAGCGATCCATCTGCCTTGTACTTCACCGAGAACACCCACTTGTATTCAACTGGCTTCTTTCCTTTCGGTAATTCTACTAACTCCCAAGTCTTGTTCTTCTTAAGAGCATCCATTTCCACTTTCATAGCCTGTTTCCACTCTTCCTTCCCTAAAGCCTCAGACAATGTTTGTGGACTGGTTATAGAGTTTAGATGGGTGAGAAAACTTCTATGTGAAGATGACAATTCTTTCAAATGACACAAAATGAGACAAAGGGTGTTGTGTGCAATTTTGAGTGCCTTTCCTTACTGCAATGGGTAGGTGTAGGTCATTTTTTTTTCCAATTATTTCAGAGGATAAATCAAGAGTAGGAAGAACTGGGACATTTGTTATACAAACCTCTATATTTACCCTATTCCTGATAATTGGCTTGGACACTTGGGCCTGCTTCAATTTAGCAGTGGGACCTCTTTTCCTTGAATATTGCCACAATGGTGTAG